AGATGTTTCCAAAGAATGTTAAACTCAAGTTTGTTGATAAAACGATTTGTTTGTTATTTCTTGTGAGCGAGAAAGAGTAAGTGTGAGTCAATAGTGGAACGTTCTGAAAGCGCTTAGTGACCCTTGTCACCCCTTGGCAGGTAAGTCCAACTTCGAAACCGCTGTACGCACCGTAAATACCGCTTATTGCGCCAAGTAAAAGAATCTATTATTAAATGGGTAATGGTAGAATGGAGATAAACCGAGTGTGTTTGAAAATCAGAGACATGCTTTACTGAATTGATGGCGACTAAATATTACAATTGGAACCTCACGCTACGCGTTCGGTTCCAATTGAAATTTAGTCGCTACGCGTTCGGTTCCAATTGAAATTTAGTCGCCATCAATTCAGTAAAGCATGTCTCTGATTTTCAAACACACTTGGTTTATCTCCTAATTATTAGACAGTGATTGTTAACAGGGAATATGTATTAACAAGAATTCTGTATTATCGGGTAAAATGTATTACTGGGGAATGTGTATTATCAGTGAAAATGGATTATTAGACAATGAGTATTATGCGGGAATATGTGTTAACAAGAATTCTGACCGTATTATCAGGTAAAATGTATTATTGGGGAATGTGTATTAACAGGGAATATGTATTATCAGGGAATATATATTGCAGGGATTTTGCATCATCAGGGAATATGTGTAATTATGCAATGTGTATTATCAGTGAATGTGTAGTTTTAGACAATGAGTATTATGACGGAATATGTGTTAACAAGAATTCTTTATTATCAGGTAAAATATATTATTTGGGAATGTATATTATCAGGAATATGCATTATTATGGGATGTGTATTATCAGGGGCGCGTTCGGTTTTAAATGACATTTAGCAGCGTTCAACCAACTATAATCACTTCCAAAATGTAAACACAATAGGATTATCACCATTCTACCATGACATATCCACCATGAATAAAACGCGTTTTAAATATGCACCCATTACCCTTGCGTAGTGTTGTTTACCTTTGTAAGGGTTAATGATGCAAAATATTCCTACGCGCAGTGAACCGGCTCTCAGAAGTGGTTATTGAAAATTTTCACTAAAGTCTTCTAATCTTTTAGTAACAGCCTATCAAAAACGAACATACTTAAATGTCATGGTAGAATGTATATTATTAGAGAATGTGTATTATCAGGGAATATATATTATTAGAGAATGTGTATTATCAGGGAATATGCTTGATTAAGCAATGTGTATTATCAGGGAATATCCATTATCAGTTTTTACTGAAGTAAAATATGTTATCCCTGATCATTTACAGATGATAATAAATGCCTGATTCACAAAGGAAATGGACATTAATCGTCTCTTGGATCATACTTGCATCAGGCATGATTTTCGTAACGAATGCATCAAATTTGAATTGTCCTCCACATGTGTACCATCAAATTGTTTGAAGGCCTTACTGGGGCCTTGAATGTTGTTCCCTTGAGCAAACAACTTCTGAGTAAGAGTGATATGGTTTTGTTTGAAATATTGATAAAAATAGCATGCTCGAAAGGATATATTATCAAGGAATATGAATTGTTGGTATAGCGTATAATCAAGAGATATGTATCAACTGTGAATATGTATAATAATTGTAAAGGAACATGTATGATCTATAACCGTAAAAGTTTTCTTATGAAATTAATATGTATTATTAAGAGGGTTTTATGATTATACGGGAGGTGGGGTAGCCTAGTGGTTAAAGCCGTTGGCTCGTCACGGCGGGTTCGATTCCCCACATGGGCACAATGTGTTAAGCCCATTTCTGGTGTCCCCCGCCGTGATATTGCTGGAATATTGCTAAAAGCGGCGTAAAACTAAACTCAGTCAGTCAGTCAGTTTTATGATTATACAATTTTATAGTGCGTCACTCTTGTTATTGATGGGTAACCAAATTGATATAAAATGCATTTCCTTATTTTGACGTATACCATATGTTCCCTTATTGTTTTTTCAGGCAAATAGTGCATTTACCTGTGCTCGCGTTTATGACCGGTGTTACGAGAAAAAGGATAGGCTAAAACCGTTTGCAAAAACCTTGCATCATTATTTGACACTGTTTCATAAACGTGTGTTTATGCAGTCAGAATCGTTCAATGGACTTAGCTTAGAGAGGACATGTATCATGGTAATGTCTTTGTAGTTTTAATGCTCTGACTATAGTTATATGAAACATTCGAGTGTTCCTAAACAATTCTTCAGTTGTGCATCTGCTGTCATTGATCGTTTATAATGTAAACTCTTTCGCTTGGGTCAAATTGGTCTGTAACAAGCTTGTTTTTAAATAAGTTTTGAAAACATACAGTCTAATGATTTCTTCAATCTTTATATCAATGTGTCTTGTTTATAACTCTTCTCAATGCGATCAACATAATGATAAAATGAGCTGAATGTGCACGACGTATGGAGAGAACGTTTTATAGCGTACAGGAATTGTCTAAATAGTTACGGAAACATTAGGAATACTGGTAAGAAACTAACAAACACTGTCCATATGGCCGACAGCATGCTGCTATATTCGTTCTTGCGCTTGAACGCTCAAAACCTCTTAATGCAAATAGTACTCCAAAAGACTGGCATAATATCAAAACTGCGTGAAAATTATATGACTGAACAATGAGTAGCTTACTTCACGAAATGGTTAAACATTCCCCGCCATAATGGTATCATGCACACACGCAATAGGTGCATAAAAAATATGTATGTGTATATTGTCCCACGCCACACTGCAGTACTCCTGTAAAACAAGGGCAGCCTGTAAACAAACAGCCTTCACCTACCAATCAAAGGTCGAATTATTAATTTAGAATTACCTCTGTTGTTTACAAATGCTGCTTAAGAGTAAGGAAAACCGTTTAGAAATACGTGTATGTTCGTTTCGCAACTTATTTGGAGTTAGTGTCATGCCCCAAACATTTAAATTAAATCCTGAACATTTCAGGAATAACCATATTCATAATCATATTATTGAAAAGTGAAAAACTATTTGATACTCTGGAATTACCTTTGCTGGGTCCAATTAAGTACTGCTCATAAATAAAGAGGATCTTTAACAATATGTTCGATTTGCAACTCATTTGAGTTCGTGTCTCGCCCCAAACGGTCACCGGAAACCTCCAAAGGGAACCATTGTCACTCATTTCAGCTTCCCCTGAAGGTAGTATGAATACTCTCTCTTATTATTATTCATATTATTGAGAACGAGTATTTTCACGGATTTAACATATTCCCTGAAATAGATGTATACCTGCACATACGCCCCAAATATATTGCCTACACTAGTTATCACATTAATACATATTTACCGAAATAATTATCTCTTTATTAGTCCTATACCTGAAATATAGTTTAGCTAAAATATTATTTATACATATTTCCTAAAATAGTTGTCATATTTATGAATAGTTTCTAATATTGTTGTCATATTGAAACAAATTCCACGAAATAGTTTTTCGTATATATGCATATTTCATGTTGATACCATCTGTATACATATTCCTGAAATAATCATTGTTCTTGTATATATGCCCTCCCATTAGGTCCTATCAACCAAGAATATACGTACTGCTTCAGGATATGGTGGCACGCTCAACCTCAGTGTTACAACCACATGAACAGTGAATTAATTTTGGAGACCCAACAAAAATATTTTAAATGATATATAAAATCTTAATGTGAATTGTGGGGAATCACAAAATGCACTGAAAGAATTCACTTAAAATTTTGCAGGGGTATTTTGCAAATCAACGCCAAATCTCCAACAGTTGTTGTATATTGAGAACTTGGGAGGTACCCTTTATATATTAATACGTATGTCCGAGTGTTAAGTTATTGGTCTAAGTTATTACGCAGTGAGAACAGTATACTGCTGGTTATTTATGGTCTATGTTTAACGGGTTTAAATAGGGTTGTAAATCTTGGTTGATTGATGTTAAAATATGCGATAAGAACTTGGTTTGGACACGTTTAGGAATTTCCTGATGTGAATGTTGATATTTTTTGTAAAGTTGCAAAAAAGCGTCTCATTAATATTTATATTAAAAAATGGAGATCTGAGTTAGAGTTAGATGATAAATTATTTTAATACAAAAACATCAATGTACTTTTTGTTATGCAATGTACATTGATCAGGTTGTCAAAGATAGAAAATTGATCATGCAAATGTGAAGGTCCACTCATTACCTAATGTTAGAAATTGGTAGATACAATAATATTCCAAGGGAAGACCGTTTATGTGCATGTTGTAATAGCTAGGGAAATATTTTCATTGAAGACGAGTATCATTTTATGTGAATTTTAGAATTTTTACAGTTTAGAAAGATATATTAAAAGTTTTATTGGTTTGACCTAGTGCATTTAAACTTGTGTCATTGTGTAAACATGACCCGTTGGTAACAATCAATCTCAGTTTAACACATGTTACCTTAGCTTGTTCAGCTTGACCTGAGCTACTCTACAAATGCATGACCCGGGAGGTCAAATGGCACAAACGGCAGGTCGAGTTAACTTCATTAAATAGTGTCACAACTCTGATGTCACAGATGTGCCTTTTGATTTTTTTGGTCTTTTTCATAAGAAATAAATATACAATTTCAAAACTCATTGGCCATGTTATATTGTAAAACTAGATAATTTAATATATACGTACATTAAAAAATATTATCTTTGGATTTTTTCTTTTCAAAATTATGTTACAATATTTCGAAACCTGGATGGGCGAAGAAGCCTGGTGGCTTATATAGACGCAACTCCAGTACATTGTTCCAATAGCTTGATATATAATTGAAATAATTTGACAACAAAAGCAAAATACTGTGACAAAATAACAGATAAATGATTGAATAATAAATATGCTCGGCATGGTGTTGGTTATGCCTAACAACGAAATGAGCAGCCACGGAAAATCAAGTTATAGAAAACTTGCCTTACATTAAATATATACGTAGATTTGATAATTACCTGAAGCGGTTACTTTTAGAAATGAACTGTTGTAACGAGTTGAGAATGTCACTATTAGTTGAGTTATTCAATGCGCCGTTACCGTATAAAGCAGCTTTCACATCGTATTCTTGAATATAAAAAAATACACACTTGTTCTTAAATTTTGATAGTTCCGACATAATAGTAGATTTATTTACTATCTGCAGTCCGATTATCTTATAACAAACTAGTTTTCCCCATAAGAATTTAGTTGATGCCGTTTTCGCCATAAGATTTGTTGCCGTTTTCGTCAAGTCGAGGTTCCGTTATGTCCAAATTGTGCCGTTTTCGCCATGTGCCGTTTTGCTGTGGGGACATTTTAGCCTGAACCCGTATTGTGAGTGTTGATATAACCATTTTTTGTCGTTTTGATAACCTATGTAACTTTGCAGAAATAATTTTCTGCTTAAGAAATACACTTCGCTCTACCACCATGTATAGTGTAATAAAACACACTTTTGCCCTGAACTATTATAGTTAAAGCACGAGGACGCTTGATTATTATCGAGCAAGAAGCAGCCTGGACTCTATGTGAAAAACAAATAAGAAGATGCCATGCCGGAAAATGTTATCTCCCTGTTCAGTTAAAGCAACGAAATTCAGCAATCCTAGGAAATCTCTGTCAAAAACAAAGCTATAATACATGTATATGACATAGCATCACAATGATTCAACATCAAATTGTGAATACACCAGCTGAAAGGTGAGCGTATCCTACTCCATCGGTTGCACACATCATAATCAAAAGCATAGGCACGCGTAGTGGTCACCTGAACAGTAACGGTATCAACTTCTTCATGTAACTCATGCTTGTTTTAAGAGGCGACTAACGGGATCGGGAGGTCACGCTCGCTGACTTGGTTGACACAAGACATCAAATTCCAATTGCGTAGATCGATGTTCATGCTGTTGATCACTGGATTGTCTGGTGCAGACACGATTATTTACAGACCGCCGAAACATACCAGGATTATTGCTGAGTTCGGCGTTAAACAACAAACCAACCAAACCTCATGTAATTACCTTACATACCAAAGATATGACGAAACGACCTTTCACATCAAACTTCATAAATTGAGATTATGTATTTGAAAGTATATAATGTCTATCAGAGATACAAGAAAATTACAATTATGATTGCAAAATTATTACAATATGCTCCATTACCTGTCAGCTTGTATCAGTGTGTGAGCAAGTGAACTACGGCGGTGGACTAAACGCCAAGAGATAACGGTAACGAGATATCAACTCGCATGTATGAGGAAGTTGAGATTGCAATCCTGGAATGCCATTGGTTACACTAGCTATATGCATGTCCAATACAAGAAAGCGTCTTTGTCATCCAATACTGGTTTAAAGAGGAGATATCGCTTGTACAAGATCAAGCGATATCTCCCAAGAGATATCATTTTGGTAAGTTTTAAGCTGATTGGTCAATATTTTTGGACTACTTTCATCTCCAAGTGGGACTGAGTGAAGTGTTGCAACCGCCATGCTTCGCTTCGAATTGGCATTTGCAAGAGTTTTGAATTCTTTGGAAGTTTCTTCTTTGAGGTCGAAAGAGGTATTTTTGTTCATGATTTGTTCTTAGGACATAGAGGTTTACTTAAAATGCCACCAACAAATGGTGAAACTTATGCATTGCAGAATCTAAAGCAATAAATGTTAGCACTACTTTTATGTGCCGTCCTCCATCAATCCTGTTCACGTGGATGTATTCAAATGAACTTGTTACGGGTGACGTTTCGTTTTTAATTCCTCTTAAAAGACAAATTAAGTATGATAGTGGATGATGAATAGAATCTCATCCTCGTGTCTTTTGATATCAAATATATCACCACTCGTTGATAAAAGTGAGACAACTCCTCGGCAAGCCTCACTTATCAACTCGTATATTGCATTGTCCATTCTGACTTGCTAGTATGTTTTGCCTAGAATTGTTGCAGTGTACCTCTCAAGTGTGTCTCTAAAGACGTTTTATTGTATAGACAGTTCCACTGGCTACAGTCCATTGTAGACTGGTTACCTATGCCAAGCGCCTTGTCTTTGTTGTTAACATACCTGTTATTCTGGCGACTTGCTTCATGTTAATAACTCAGTAGGAACACTTTTAATGAGTTTTCCAGGGCAGGTTTAATCCATGTTTTGTCTTGTTGCAGTGTACCCCATTGTGTCAAGTCGCGCAGTTGTTGGTCTCCAAGAGATGTTTTATCATATTCACAAGACCATTGATAAAGCATCACCTGAATCCAAGAGCATTTTTGCCTTCAAACAGGCGATCATACCCAAACATACTGGAATGCCAGTGAAGCATTGCTCCACAATATCGCATAAGCTGTGGACCCGTGAAGATCCCGGTTAGCATTGGTCTTCAGCAACATATGCTTGGCGACTAACGGGATCGCGTGGCTCGCTGATTTGTTTGATAGATGTCATCGTGTCCCAATCGTGTAGATCGATGCTAATGTTGTTAATACTGGATTGTCTGGTCCAGACTCGATTGTTTACAGACCGCCTCCATAGAGCTGGAATACTGCAGAGTGCGGCGTTAAACAACAAACATGAATGGTATCTTCACCAGTTACAAAGGTTCTGAGTGAGTGAGTATGGTTTACGCCGCTTTTAGCAATATTCTAGCAATATCACGGCGGGGGACACCAGAAATAGGCTTCACACATTTACCAACGACATGGAATCGATGAACTCAATTCATTTCATGATAAAGTTGTTTTGGCACACCTTTGGATGGAAAACCCGTTTGAGATAACAGAGATCCAAGGTCTGGTTTTCGAGTAGTTACTTCATGACCTGAGGTCAGATTATGACGAAGTACTTTTCCGATTATAATTCAGTGATAACTTTTTCCCTAGCTACAATCCAAAGCAGTCATGTTGCTTATGCCAAACAATATGTATATCTGTTATTCTGACGACGTGCAGGCTGACAAATTTCAAGGCTTACGTATATAAAACTTGAAAAGTGTTATCACCCCTCCAAAGCACCCCAATATTATACCCCAAACTTACGAAATGCACGTTGTCAAGATACAATGTACCGCATGGGAGCTCACTTCATAAATGAAATGGCGATACATATTCTACTGAATCCATCCCGCCAGAAAAATGAAATACTTTAAATATTCCTGCTTATTGAACTCAAGGAGCAAACGGTATCAGTTTCGAACAATCTATTTCTTGCTAGCAGTCACACCTTGGGCCAGCCTTATCACTTACCCTTGCACAACGTTTTCTTGACCAACGGTCCAGCGTTGATTTGGGGTTGGTCAGACGTTGGCACAGATACGTACAGCCGACGTTTGATTAGCGTCGAGTTTGTTCCTCCCTACTCCCCAAGAAACCTTTTTCGTCTGTACCAATTCAGTTAAAGTGACATGTAGCAAATAGTTGGTCAATGAAAGGCAACCACTCATCGTACAGTACCTCTGAGTATTATGATTTGGTTGGTTGGTTGGTTGTTTAACGCCGCACTTGGCAATATTCAAGTTATTTGACGGCGGTCTGTAAACAATCGAGTCTGGACGAGACAATCCAGTGATCAACAGCATGATCTACACAAATGGGATACGGTGACATCACGTCACATGTGTCAGCCAAGTGAGCGAGCCTGACCACACGATCCCGTTAGTCGCCTTACGATTAGAATGGGTTGCTGAAGACCAATTCTAACCCGGATCTTCACAGGTACTAATTATAATGATAATAATTAGGTTTTGTATTTTCTATTCTTCTGAACCAAACCATGTTCTGTAAAATGTTTTCCACAATTAAATGATATTTGATTTTACAAAGAATTGGAAAATATCAGACAACAGGAGCTACACACAATGACGAGAAACAATTTTTGTTGTTGTTTTTTTATCTTGGCCTAACCGCAATGTGCAACATTGAAGGCTATAATAAGGCATCCGATGTCCCATGATCCATGTCTATGATTCAGTGAAGACTTTGATCATGATAGCAACAAATTGCCGAAGAATTTAGGATGAGGGGACCTATTTTTGTTTAATTTTTTAATGGCTAGTTTCATGCTTGCCCTTGACGACTGAATAGAACAGATGAGTATACTTTTCATTTTCAACCATTTTTGCGTGAATCATCCATAAATTCATTTACATACACATCGGTTTGCCACGTTGTCGTGTAGTTGCTGGCTGTCAGGTGTCCTCCTAATATTACAACCTTAATCAAAATAAAGCAAATTTGCATCACGATCACGATCAATTTAAAGATATTGACAAACTCGATTTTCTATTGCTACTATGATGACGAGAGTTGGAGAATAAGCTTAATTGGCAGGGGTGCCAATGTGGACTACCAACCTATACAACACACGACGGGAGTAAATGAATGACGAGTTTTTGCAATAATGTTTTATGATAGAATGTTTCAATCATATATAGAAGTACATATATACCAGGAACAGCAATGATATAGATAGCGTAACGTGATATATGATACGTAACCTAACGTAATACAAAAGTTTATACATGATTAAACATTATATATCTGAGTGAGTGAGTTTTGGTTTTACGCCGCTTTTAGCAATATTCCAGCAATATCACGGCGGGGGACACCAGAAATGGGCTTCACACATTGTGCCCATGTGGGGATTCGAACCCGGGTCTTCGGCGGGACGAACCAACGCTTTAACCATTAGGCTACCCCACAGTCCCTCTCACGCACTGTAATTAACACATCATCACAGTGGTCATTCACATAAAATGATAACATAACTGACTGACTGACTGAGTTTGGTTTTACGCCGCTTTTAGCAATATTCCAGCAACATCATGGCGGGGGACACCAGAAATGGGCTTCACACATTGTGCCCATGTGGGGATTCGAACCCGGGTCTTCGGCGTGACGAGCAAATGCTTTAACCATTAGGCTACCCTACCACCCCTGATAACATAATGTTCACAATTCACGATAAGAGGTAAACGAGTCATTCACATAATAAATCTACCACTGGCTATTTACACAGTGACTCATTTTTATAATAGAATGTTTCAATCATTTATAGGAGACTATTACATATAGACCATAAACAGCAATGATGTACGTTGCCAAGATGTTTAAAAAACTTTTCCCTAGATAAGCTTCCTGTGCATTGGTGTTCTAAAATTGCAAAAAGTCAAAGGCATTATAGAGATAAAGAGATTGACGATTGTAAATGGCAGCCATGTTGTAAAATGATCGTCACTGTCTAATCCGGCACCCTGTCTAAACCGGCATTTTATTTCGGACCCGTTGGGTGCCGGTTTAGACAGGTTTCACTGTTAATTACGTTACGTATTATATGATTAAATATTATATATAAGACGCACTGTAGCTAACACATCGCTCCTGTGGGAATTTACACAAAATGATAACACGATGTTCACAAGCGTGACAAGTTAAACAGAATTAGGTAATCTAGATACACCTGGAGTAGTACACGTGAATATATGAAACGTACACCAAAGTATGACGCGTTCCACATAAACCCGAAGGTGTTGTCAAGGGTAACATATAGTTAACATATACATCTGACAGAAAGCTAACTGTATAGTCTGGCAGAAAACCTTTCGTGACGGTGTTTACTCAAACACTACAAGTACAATCGTTTTCTAATTTGGCATGATGCATTATAATTTTTCTACCATTGTAAATGTCATGAATTATGATTTAATAATTAAAAAGTTGTTTAACAAACTATCATTAAAATATTGATATAGTTCACTATATGTTACGAGGGAGGAGTGCAGACAGAGGAACAGCCAGGTGTGCTATTGATTCATTTACCTGTGCCGATCCTTTTTCGAACATCTGGCTGTTCCCCTCTCTGCACTCCTCCCTCGTAACAAATAGTGAAATGTGTCAATAGTTTAATGATAGTTTCTTAAACAACTTTTTTATTATTTTGTGGACCGTTATGCCCCGATGTAATAAATACCCGCTCTTATCCTTGCATACCCATGTAACCGAGGTCAGCTTGACCTTTCTAAATCTACATTTACTAAAAACCTGCGACTCGATTTACACAACAGAGTAATTCAATGACTGAATTAATTGATTTGAAATTTCTTAATTAAGTTGCACAATCAGTAAAGAACAATGTACATATATTTTAAATATTTTCATTTATTTGTATGCCCGCCCGCTTTCTTGTAGGCTGAAGATGACAATAAATTTTTTTTTTAAAACACGGCGCTTAAATAAGGCCATGTGAACGCGTGACTATAAAAGGGAATGAAAAACTATTAATAATAATATTCTCTAAAAGTTTTATCACTGCGAACCATTCACTGTAACACATCAACTATAGGACCATTGCATGGAGATTGACGACCAAGAGTTACTTCCCTTACATCATTCAAGAAAATAGACATCGCAGCATTGCAAACTAGTCTGCTTGACAAAATGCGCAACTGGAATAACGCACGTACTTGTAAGACAGGCGCCTAGTCCAACTGAGGAATGCGGGTCAGCCTTAACGCCCCACAGTGCACTTGTGACAATTCATTGTGACATCGGTTATCCAAAACTAAAGTCACCCGAGTGAAAATAAATAAATACGAGTTTGAACAATATCATCACTGAGTTAGTGACGTAAGCTCTTGCAGATTTTACAGTATGCGCCACTCCCGCTATTTCGCCATAATTTCCGCTTATAGCGGAACTCGAAGGCAGTCACATTCAGTTGACAGTCAGTCAATATTAGAGCAAGTCGAGTGATATGTAAGTAAAATTTTGTATCTACTTTAGGACTCTGTAGCTCAAAGATATCATTTCTCATTATTTTCAAACTTTGTGACGCTTTAGTTTGGCTAGGACTGTGATAACCGAATAACTGAAACCTTGATCTTACGTCACAATATATTCCCTACAAAGGCTTTGAATAGGCCTTTTGTTTCATCAATTTAAAAAAATTCAGTTTTTAATTCTTCCGCGTTAGGAAGATGATAGAACGTTCGCAAAAAGATCGATAACGACATTAAAAGTTAGACACGTATAAAGTCCTCAGTGTATTCATTTAAAATAAAAAAAACTTTTTTAAAAATGAGCAATGTGTGAAAATGTTGATAAACCATTTCTGTTTGTTTACATGGCCACTTACATTGGCAGCAATATGATCACAATTAATTCGTGAATTTTTGTGAAAAAAATCCCCAACAAGTGCCCTTGTGGATACGTCTAACCATGTGACTTTTAGTATGTCTCATTTTAGTCGACATATCGATTAAGGCGAGGTTTTAGGTCCCGGTAGCGTTTACATGGTCTTGAACCTCTAGTCGAACTGCGATAATTCGATACAATAGATATCCCCCATGATGCCGAGATATCCAGGTTTCAGTTATTGCAGGGGTGAAATAAAAATTATAGTAAGTGAACGTTTTCAGTTTCCATTTATTCGATACTGGATATCAACTAAAACAGTGTTGAGTATCAATGCCTGTATACTAAACTAATTTACATTATACATATTCACATTCACTGATTGATGTTTCCATCCTCAAAAACAAATTCTGTTAATCCGCATGTTTTACGATATAAGGGTCGGTTTACAAATCTGGCCTCGATCTGTCATTTTATACGAAAGGCATGCCTTTTGTTTAATCAGTTCAGAGAGTGATAGGTATTACAGGCAAATGCACACTGTATGCGATATTTATTATGCTTAATAGGTCTCGTCATAGATATATTTTCTTAACAATTAGCAATCTGAATTGGCGACAAGTTTACTTCAATGAGATGAACTCTATGTATGTATGTATGTATGTATGTATGTATGTATGTATGTATGTATGTATGTATGTATGTATGTATGTATGTATGTATGTATGTATGTATGTATGTATGTATGTATGTATGTATGTATGTATGTTACAGAGGCCCAGATAAGCTGCGTATCCGGGTAAAGTACGCATAGAAAATTTCCAATTACGCATTGAAAAACTAATTGTTGCGTACAAATTATGCATTTACAATGTCAGATACGCAAAAAGTTTAAAACAAATGCGTACGGAATATATTTATAAAAATCGCTTGCGTAATGAAAAAGACATCGCTTGCTATCAAGTTGTACAGTTAGTATAGGACTAGTGTTGTACTGTCAGTATAGGATGAGTGATTTTTTATGAAATCATTTCCATTATATACCTGCTTAGTAAACTTACTCAATGACATAATACTTAGGTGAGTAAAATGACTGAAATACGCACATATCTGAAAGCAGTGGGTAACGTATATGAAATACCCACTCAATATTCATAATACCCACTCCCCAAAAATACAGTGGGTACAGTACCCACATGAGCTAAATCTTATCTGGAGCTCTGTATGTATGTATGTATGTATGTATGTATGTATGTATGTATGTATGTATGTATGTATGTATGTATGTATGTATGTATGTATGTATGTGCTAAAGGCAGAGTCGATTGTACAATTCTGACTATATCATGTGTACGTGTTTGACGTCGCGTTCAGCAGTTTTTACAGCTGTATGACTGTATGACGCGGTCTGTAAACAATGGTGTCTGGACCAGACAATCAAGTGACTAACAACATGACAAGGATTCGCGATAAAAAAAGTGATGATACCAGGTGGATATAAGTTGTTATTTCCGTCGTATTGATTCCGGGTTTGAATTGGTCTTTAGCAACCCATGCATAGCGTAAGAGACGACTAACGGGATCGGGTGGTCATTTTCGCTGACTTGGTTGACACATGTCATCGTATCCCACTTGCAATTGTTGTTGATCACTGGGTTATCTAGTCCAGACTCGAATATTTACAGACCGTAGCCATATAGCTGGAATATTGCTGATTGCGGCGTTAAACAACAAACAAACAAAACACATTCTATTGTATGTGTTTTAACAAAGAGGCTTCCAGCTTCGTTTTAAAAAAACAGTCAAACTCGAACTTTGAAGTGTCGAAGTTGCTGTTGTCTCGGAGTGACTGCGTATTCCTGCTTAGTCAGCATTTTGAGTTGTGCCGAACCTCGGATAACTCAAAGTATTAACGTAGGTCCTTGAGTTTCTTGAGTGTTAGACTGTGATAGATAGATTTAATATTTATAATTTCACCCTATACGTTACAGCAATAATACAAAATATAATTCAAACATTGGCTACACCCTGTGGTGTTGAGAGAGACTATTCTAAAGAAGATTCACATATTCACAATACAGAATAAAACAAAAATGCATTACTGTATTAAACACTTGACTTTTTTGTGGAACATCACAACAGGTTTTGACATGAACTATCTGACAAAACAGAAGCTGGTTTGCATGTAGTGAATATGGCATTTGATTGTTTTAGGGAGATCACCATTTTTACAACGATAGTAGTTTTGTGTTAAAACTGAAATAGACACTGACACTGAAGCATTATTAGGATCGACCAAGCAGCTGACATACGCATGCGTTTGTGTGCGTTTGTGTGCGTTTGAGTGCGTGCATTCATCTTGAAGTACTTCCCACGTAAAAGCTTTTACAACAAAACGATTTCAGCCTGTATAGAGTTACATTTTAACATTTTACACCTTATGTGTACACGTTTCAATAAATTGTTAGTCTGTCTCACAGTCCCTGAACCACATTATTTTCCCCACTGCCAAGCCCTCTCTGCCGTGCTAAAGCCCTAAATAAAGCAAGTCTAGATTTCCTCAGGTTCAGGTTCTGAATCTCTGGTCTCCCTAGGGCTCCTTTTCAATATAAATGGGCTTGTTTGTTACTATCAAAATTATATATATTCAGAGACTAAGCCTTAGTCTAATAAATCGTAAACTTCAAATTCATTTTATCAAGGACTGACGGTAGTTTGGAGAGAGTGTTAGTCACAGAGGGCCCGGGGTTGTTTTCGAACACATTGACCTGTGTGAAAGTGGCATTGCTCTTAGTCACGTTTGCGATAACACTCCCGAAGTCCAACGGGGATTTCCGGAGACAGAAATCAGCGTCCGGGTCTGTTGCAATAACCGACTCAAATAACGAGGTCAAATGACAGTCGGCAAAGCTCGTATATTTCCGACAGGCGTTGGAAATTTCCTTCGCTGAAACATTCAAGCAGTTATGTCGTAATGCGTAACGGAGCGCGAGCGTTTCAGGAGTTATCTCCCGTGTATAAGCTTCAATCTGATGTTTGCATTAATGAACGTGATTGTGGTATCCCTACACACCGTGTATTTCTCATATTTCTGAATCTGTTTCAAGACATGCCGTGTTTTTTATTTGTTTCGTTATTGAAACAAGTGATAAGAAAATCATATTTATATTTTACACACTTTCATTTTCTACGCGTCTATATTTTCATGGAGTACTTTACTAAATTGGGGCAGTGGGGTAGCCTAATGGTTAAAGCGTCCGCTCGTCACGCTGAAGACCCGGGTTCGATTCCCTACATGAGTACAATGAGTGACGCCCATTTCTGGTGTTCCCCGCCGTGATGTTGCTGGAATATTGCTAAAAGAGGCGTAAAACCAGTCTCACTCACTTTACTAAATAAGTTTCTTGGTCGGGTGATCGAAATATTCTCGATTGCTTGTAACATTTCCGGTGTGTTTAATTTTAGTATACTAGTATTTCGAATTGAGATCCCTGCATAGCTCGTCTAGATCTGCGTATTTTTCTAATATTTAGAAATATCATAGGTTCCACATACTTTTCTGAAATTCATTTCCAACATTTCGACATTTCGGTGGAGACAGATACATTTACTAAGAATGTAATGACTCCCCAGTACAACAATGTATGGATTGCATTCTTTAGAGGATAAGAAAACGAAACACATTTACCTGAATCGATTTATATTTAATTCCGACTTGTTTCTAATGTTAGTCTCGTTCCACATGAAAACACGAAATTTAGATAGAATAACCATTTTGGCAAAATAGGTCGTACCTACGTTTGAATAACCAGGGTTCTCATTAACAATATATATTTTATATCTGCAATGTACATTGTCCATAATTTTAAGTGGTAAATTCTATTGTAGTTTATTTTTCTAACCGGTCTTGTCTTTCAATATTTAGTTGAAACTTGAATAAAAAAATGATGGTGTATTTTCAAATATGGGGAGATATTAAAGATGTTTTAAACATATTAATAGTGTTTATTGCGAATGAAGTAAATTCACCCAAAGTTATCTTGAATTCCTTTACCCGTGAAGGTCCGGGTTAGAATATTGATCTTCAGTAACCCATGCTTGTCGTAAGAGGCGACATACGGGATCGGGTGGTCAGGCTTGCTGACTTGTTCACACATGTCATCGGTTCCCAGTTGCGTAGATAGATGCTCATGGTGTTGATTACTGGATTGTCTGGTCCAGACTCGATTATTTACAGACCGCCGCCATATAGCTGGAATATTGCTGAGTGCGTCGTAAAACTAAATCCACTCACTCACTTGAATTCCTTTTCACGATACACGATCTATTATGAACAAAAGATCACAATACATAATATGTGGCAGTGTGTGGTGTGTGTGTGGTGTGTGTGTGCGTGGTGTGTGGTCCTGTGCATAGCACCCAGGGCCTAGATTTTCGAAGCTCTCTTAGCGCTAAGATAGTCGTAAGTTAATGTTAATGTACGGCACTTACGACTATCTCAGCGCTAAGAGAGCTTCGAAAATCTAGGCCCTTCACTTAAGTTAAGCAACGTTGGTCGGGTGACCGGTCCTTGGATGGGTGACCGTGTTTGGAGGCTTGACTCCTGAGAGTTTCTAAGACCTCTGTCCTGCCCCACAACTAACAAACTCACGTAACACATGTGGTCTCACCCGATGCTAGTGGGTTTGTTTATGAATTGCCTATGTTCGTCCGGCAGTGAATGGGTACCCGGTGGGACAAGTCAGATAACCCTCTAGTGCCTCAGACAGCTTGGTAATCTGGAATAATTATGGCTTTATCATGTACAAGTGTGTGGAAACAGGCGCTTTGGTTATTATCATATCGCATAGTGGGATAGTCGTATGACGACATCTAATTAATTAAGATGATAAACATCATGCCATATCGTATACAGCAGACATGTTGGCCTTCGAACATCATATGCATGTACCCCTCTCGAGTGTATCTTTTCAAAGTTCGAATTTCACCGAGATGAATGATTTATCGAAAAAGGTAATTTAAATGGATTCCTTAAGTGTATACGTCAGTAACAAAATGTGTTTCATACCCTTCTTTTGTTGACGGTTTACCAGGCTTAGTGTGCTCGGATCTTTATTCGGCTCTGCCTCAGAACTTGTGGGGATCGGCGTTCCCTGCGACGACGGCTTCTCCGACCGCCTCAACCACAACTGGACGACATTCCTCCTCACGTTTTTCTGCCTCGTCATCACCACTACTCAGATCGCCGGCAGCCCCATCAAATGTTGGATCTCCAAGGATACCGACCATGTACGTGGGTATAGATAACTGGCAGGGTGTGTGGGTGGATGTGGGGGGTGGGAGTCAGTTTGTACGGGTATGTTACATCAGTGGTGGTCAGTTTGTACGGGTGTATGACGTCAGAGGGGTCAGTTGTACGGGTATACGTCATCGGGAGGGTGGGGGTTGGGGGTGGGGTGTGGGTGTGTGTGTGCAGTTTGTACGGGTATGCAACGTCAGTGGTGGTGACGTACGGGTGTATGACGTCAGTGGGGATCAGTTTGTACGGGTAAACGACATCAGGGCGGAGCAGTTTGTACGGATATACGACGTCAGTGGGTCAGTTTGTACGGCCATACGACGTCAGAGGGGTCAGTTGTACGGGTATACGTCGTCGGAGGGGTTCAATTTATACTGGCATATGCAATAAGAGCGGGTCAGTTTATACGGGTATACGACGTTAGAGGGGGTCATATACGGATATGTTTACGAATATACGAAGTCAGAGGGGTCAATTTGTAGTGATAACCGAAGTCAGATGGGAGAAGGGGTCCGTTTGTACGGGGGATCAGTTGTACGTATACAGATGGGCTGGGGGCATTTTTGTGATCGGCATACGCCATCGCAGGGTGTCAGTAAATACGTGTATTAATAGTAATAACGGCCAGTTGCACTACTGGCATTCCTCAGAGGTGATCGGTTGGTATGGGTATTCGACATGGGGAATAAGTTTTAAGTGAATATGTTATCAGCAGGTTCATTTAGTACGCAGACACACGTCTTAGCAGGTCAGTTGCATGGGCATAATGTGATTAGAGGGTATTCGACTTAAGTAATCTCATGGACAATCGGACGCACAGACAAACTCACTCACTCTCACACACATGCTCTCTCTCTCTCTCTCTCTCTCTCTCTCTCTCTCTCTCTCTCTCTCTCTCTCTCACACACACACACACACACACAATAAATAAAAAATAAAAAACGTCGTGCAATAATCTTCATGCGACGGTAAGCCTAACTTCACCTCCCAATGTTAAATGCTATATTTCCCACTTTCAGGCGGACTACATCCACAATTCCTGCTGGGTGAAGAACACCTACAACGCCCCCATCAGCCACCCCCTCCCGGTGGAAGAGAAGGAACGTCAGAAGGCGGAACTCAAGTACTACCAATGGCTTCCTATTATCCTCTTAGTCCAGGTGAGTCCAGAGGCTTCTGTGGAATCTCTCTACTCTCTTTAACCGTGTCATCACACTTCGACACATCTTGTCATCGTATCCCAATTGCGTAGATCGATGCTCATTCTGTTGATCATTGGATTGTCTGGTCCAGACTCGATTATTTACAGACCGCCGCCATATATTAGGAATATTGCGGAGTGTGGCATTAAACAACATGCCTGCTTAATCAAGATCACATCAAGGCTAGAATAAACTTTGAGCAGTCGTCGTGAAATTAAATACGCCACGGTGTACCTCCGTCACAGTTAATGATAATACAAAGTCCTTAACGGAACGTCCCTGAAGCAATGCAGAGACACAGGCTACAGAAAATACCAATCGTCAGGCTCAAATTCATAAACACTGTAGGTCTGTAACAACACAAGAAACGCCCGGATAAGGTGAGGTGAGGTGAATTTGGGTTTAACGTCGTGCTTGAGAATATTTCGCTCATATGACGACGTGCATGCGTGTGTATGTGTATGTGCGGCTGCTTGTACTAGCCCAAACTTAAGCTGGTTTTATAGTGCTAGCCCACTGAGATACCACGCCGCAGTGAAGCATGAATACCCCACTCAGACGCATTATACTGACTCCGAGCCGACCAGTCCTTGATGTACCCATTAATGCCGAGCTCCAGGCAGGGACCAACAAGTACCATATTTTAACGTCTTTTGGTATGACGCGGTAGGGGATCGAACCCGCGACCTTCCACTCTCCGCTGGGACGCTCTAACCACTACACCACGGAGGCGGTCCCCGGATAAGGACACAAAATGAGTAATAAACAAATCTATGTCTTCATCGCTGATGACAAGCACATGATGATAATTGAGCTGATCAGATGATGGTGATGATTATGACGACGACCCCGACGCAGGTAGCAGTTAATGTACTCAATCTTGTCCTACCCAGGAAACAGTATAAGTAACGTTGTTATATACATGATGTTTATCGTAAAATCTCAATAGCACAGAATCATAAAGGTATAATAAATCGTTCATATTTTCAGGCTCTGATGTTTAAAATGCCGAACATGATTTGGAGCCTGTGCCAAGGCAACGGTGGAATCAACATTGAGAAGATTACCTCCCTTTCACAGAAAACACAGTATTCAAAGCCAAAGGAAAGAGCGACGACCGTAACAAATATTGCAGCCTATATTCACAGCTGGCTTATCTTTGAACGCGAACGTAGGTACACCATCTTCTCGCGCATGCGCCGGCGGATGTCCAGACTTAGCATCCTTTTCTTCCCTTTAGGATCCCGCAACGGAACGTATTTGGTTGGACTGTATTTCTTTTCCAAAATTCTTTATGTCGCTAACTCAGTTGGACAATATTTCCTCCTAAATGCGCTCCTCGGATTTGATTTCCTCAAGTTTGGCATTCTGGTGCTCAGCAATCTTCTGGAAAATGGCGAAATCACGGACACGACGGCTTTTCCAAGAGTCACCTACTGTGACGTCAAAATACGTCAACAACAGAACGTCAACACCTTCACCTACCAATGCGTCCTTTCAATCAACATGCTATCTGAAAAGATCTTTGCTATTCTGTGGTTCTGGTTTCTATTCCTTGCATGCGTGAACGCAGTGTCAACGCTCGTGTGGTCCTACAACCTCGTCTACAGACGCAACAGGGTGCGTTATGTCGAAAAATATCTGAGCAGGTTCGTCAACGTTGAAGATGAAAAGGAACTGTGTCGCAAATTCATTGACGACTACATCCGCGACGACGGTGTCTTGGTTCTGAGAGCCGTGGCCAACAACTCCAGCATCATGGTGCTAGGAGACATCGTGGAGGCGCTGTGGCACCTCTTCAACAAAAACAGAGAAGTAAGGAACGAAAGGAAAGAACAGAGAAAGAAGGAACTAGAAAACAGAGACAAGATGGAGTTGGAGGTGATTTCAGATGGGAAACATGGCGCTACAACGCACCTCAGGAAATTAAAAGAAGTTGACCTGTGAGTACACGGAGCTCAAACAGGAAGATCATTACTGTATTGACATATATTGAATATTTGTTACATATTTTTCATATTCTGAATGTCTGCAAATTAATAGAAGTTTATGTGCTAATGCAGGGAGGTCATGCACAATTGATGAAAAGGAAATGATATCACTGTATTTACAAACAGCACCAATCGTGTATATGTTTCATGCTCTATATGAATAACATAGTGGCCATGTTCTGGCCACTATAACCTGTAATTACAATATTTAACCCGGGCAATGAAATAATGTTTTCACTTGTTTAATACGACTAGGAGAAAGTCGACTGGCACATCCATTTGGATAAGAACATAAATGAACATGCTCCTGCAATATCAACTTGCCTATCTATTCGTATATTTCAAGAGATTTTTATCTTTCATTTATACCTTTGTAATCATTCGCTGTGTCTTTGATATAAGCAGTTGCAATTATTGGAATGATGTGGTTATTAAGGTCTAGTCTCCGTAATGTAGTTTCTCAAATAGATGACATGAATATGTTTTTCAAATGACACATTAATTGTTTTCGAGATAGTTTAATATATTTTATTATTCATATTCTTCTTACCATGTCAGTAATTAAATTGTGCTGATTCTTATTAACACGTATACGCTTGATGCTGAGCTTATAGAAGGCCGTTTAATGATCCGACCCTTTCCTTGCCAAGCATTTACAAAGTAGGCACAAGTGTGTCTGTGTTCAAACACATTTATAGAGAATCGAAAAATGAACAAAATGAATCTAATTTTTTAAGAACCTATTGCAATTGTTGTCCCGCTATAACCAAAGACTTTATTTTTTGTTGCTCCAAAACATCCATTTACCTTTTCTGCAACGCTTCACCACTGGCTGATACCAGGATGTAGTACATGTAGACCCACGTTTCTTTCATACATATTGTGCTGTTTCCATATCGAGATCGTCATCTTACTGTGATAGTGATTATTGTATTGCTGTCGTAAAACAGCAACATATCATTCAGTTACCCGTTTGCATCTTATATTGTGTTTCGAATGTTTAGGATTTAAAGGATTGTGTGCTTGCGGGGGTGACAGTCCCAGCAGATCTGGTTAAAAAGTAAGCCTTGTGGTTAAAGGGTTTGCTCGTCACACCGAAGGACCGGGTTCGATCCCCCGCAATGGTACAAAGTGTGAAGCCCATTTCTGGTGTCCATCGCCGTGATATTGCTGGAATATTGCTAAAAACGGCGTTAAACCATAGTCATTCACTCACTAATTAACCATCCTAGTACTGCCTTGTCTGGCTGCTACTTCAGATCGTATCTCATGTATCACCCTTACACTTTATGTTTACCCTCATTACCAGGATCCAGTGGCACATGTTCACTTTAGAAACCTCTTTCATATCTACGGCGATCGTAAAGCCCATACCTGTATATGTAGATTCACAATACTCGTACCGTATATGGACCCTGCTCAAAAGAATCTCAGTCATGTATGTGTAATATGTATCAGTTAGTGTATACTAAGTACCAATACAGTGATACCCTGTTAATCAGGAAACCCCCATTTCCGGACAGTTATTTGTCAGTACTTTCATACATATGTGTATAATTGGACAAAACCCCTAAATGCTGATGAATACCTGATGAGGAAATATGTCAATTCGGATAATTCCGATCTGAACTGTACAGTAACGGGGTTTTAGCTGAGCGATGCGTGTTCACGTTGAATCGATGTGTTCCACAATTTCTGCATTTCAACTGTCTAGAAAGATCACACGGTGCTGTTTTTGTTTTCGTTATCTTTTTGTTATTGCTTTTTGTTATTATATATAACCATATTTGTCTCAAAATGGAACGCTCGGAATTGTACGATGGATGTGCACGCAAATATATTCAGTTTTAATTTCCAGCTGATGATATCAAGAAAATGAGGTTCCTGTATATGTGGAGACCGAGCTCTCTTTGCAGAAACCTATGATCGTGGGTTTGAATCTTGTTTCGCCCTGATTATATTTAAGGTTTGTGAGGTCCAAACCACGCTGGGTTTCACCACTTTGGTAAACGTCTGAAACATGCGGGCTTTCCTCCTCATTGAGTTGGGTGGTTTTGTAGCCTAGTGGTTAAAGCGTTCGCTCGTCACGCTGAAGACCCAGGTTCGATTCCCCACATGGGTACAAAATGTGAAGCCTATTTCTGGTGTCCCCCGCCGTGATATTTGAAAGCGGCGTAAAACTAAACTCACTCCTCATTCAGCTGAAACGCCGTTAGATAGCTGAAATACTGTGCAAAGCGGCGATAAAAGCACCTTCTTATCCATACTAAAATAACTGTACTCTCATAACTGTGATTAGACTGACTTGTAGTTTAGTTCGAACAATTTCAAGATGAAAGGGTTCTCTCACACCCGCAGGAACAAGAGTGCTTCCGTCAACAGACGTCGCTTGTAAATAATGACTCGCATTAATACTATACGTCAACGGCATTTATACCAATGTGCATTTTCTCTTGGAGCAATACCTCATCTAGTCATTTGCTATGTGAACAGAATTGAAAACAAACTCCAATTTCTATATCATTTGTATAGATGATACGACCTGTCAGTATTATTCCACAGATATGCTCAGATTTTGAGATGTATTTTATTCTTGTTGAGATGTATATGTATATTCTTTATACTTTCTTTACAATAAAACTTTTGCTTTTAGTTAACTGGTATTGTGTTGTTACTAAAATATGGGCATGGATTTACCCCGCTTTAAGCAACATTCCATCAAAAGAGTAATGAACACCATCTTGCACCTAGTTTGGTCTTATGTGATAATAACGTAAGGAATTGTGGTCTGGCTGTTAATTTTACAAATATTATCTGCAAAACATACTTTTTACTCAATGTATATTATTTGTCATAACTTTATTTTCATTAATTTGGTATTACTTACGTATTATTATCCAGCAATCGGTAAAATAAACAATTGAAGTGATACATTTTAAATTTCCGAAGCTTAACGGGTAAGCATAGAAAAACGAAGACACTACTAAACATTCAAGTAACGTTCAAAACACTGAACACTTTATACGAATCAAACTTGTATCCTCCGATCAACGAGTTTGATTTATTGTGGGTTTGATATATATGTAACAGCACGTCAACTTGAAAGGGGGGGGTGTTTAAAGAAATGATGCAGGTTTCAGGTTGACATTAAGTAGGGGTCAACTGTGCACTCAATTCACTCAACTACCGTTCATAAGCCAAGTGTTTTATGATCCACTTCCGTTTAGTTAAACACTCGGCCAAATTACAGCGAGTGAGTGAGTTGTACCCCGTCTACGGTGCATTTAAAGTATATAGTGTACAGTTAGCTTTGTATGGGAAAATAGACGTAACGTCTAGGTTTCCTCTCCGCCACGAGCACTCGAAGCAGCTTCAGCACAGCCAATACCAGCGGCTTCGTATCGCTAAATTGCATGAGTCTCTTCAGTTAGATGCAGATATAATTATATTTTATTTCTATTCTGACAAGAATAGGCACCTCATGGAGTGAGGAATAATCTCGCCGTTTTAAGTTTCAGCTTAGCTTAAAAGGCCATGATCGACGCCGCTTTTGAGTGACATCCAAAGCACAGGTACATGGTACCTGCTTGCCGTGTGTCATGTCTGCAAGTTAGATCCTAATGTAAACACACCGTTGTAACAGTGTCTGGAGCGAAGACATTATTTATATTTATTGACTCAATACGTATGTAACGGCGACAAGAGCAATGCAGGGACACAGAGATAATGAGATGGTTGCCTTCGTCTACAGAGACATTCCACGTATTAATGGCAACCTTAATGACAACCTTACCCCGACGTTTGAACACCAATGACGTTCTCGGTATTCGTGGTTCCATCAAACGACACCACTGGAATGCCGCCGTATGTTATTACTGCTCTATGGGACAATGCCAGTATTTCATGTGTTTGCCAATATGTATGTTTTACGTAGCAAATATGTTCAACAACTGTTATTACAATGTATGATACCATTTTCATGCTGGAATGGATAATGTTGTATAATACAACGAAAAGAGCTGCATTTTGCAAAGTTCGTTGCTATTTTATCATCTTATATTAATTAAAGGAGTATACACCTGTTACTCATGATGATGACTAGCCCATTTAGGGACGTCCTTGAGAAGGAGTGCTTGTAAACAGACATATGGGCATATGGGCTATAAAAACCAACAAGCTTGACATTGTATCTATTTTTTGGCACATCATAATGTCTCTGAGAGAATAATTAGCCGCGCACCATCATTGCTTAACATACCATGTTTAATGTAACGCTTTTACACAACGGAAAAAGCGGTTATTGATCAAGTCTAGATAATTTACTGATGTTATATCAATAATTATAATGTTAAACATCAGTGAAGAAGCAGAGTACAAATAGAACGCTACGTATACAATAAAAACTGGGAACATTTGAAACGGACATGGGGCCTGTATACGTACAAACACGACGTGCCCTATACAGTCGCTAAAGTGCCTAATACAAACGTACTATATCGCTAGTACAAACGTACCATGTGCTCAATACAAACGTACCATGTGTTCCATTCACGTTCGTAGTTCAGGTGGGGCAGTGGGGTAGCCTAATGGTTAAAGCGTTGGCTCGTCACGCCGAAGACCCGGGTTCGAATCCCCACATGGGTACAATGTGTGAAGCCAATTTCTGGTGTCCCCCGCCGTGATGTTGCTGGAATATTACTAAAAGCGGCGTAAAACCAAACTCAGTCAGTCAGTCGTAGTTCAGGTATGTCCAATCCACTCTCACCATGTTCCATTGCCCCACTTTCCACATGGCAAAGAACTATGCTTACCATGTGCCCAGTTTGAGCATTGCTGCATTGCTGCTACAAACTACAGCACGACAACCTTGTAAGTTAAATCATTTTTATAACTACAACATTCAAATGCACAGCCCGCAAAAATTGATGAACAAAGTTCAAGAGTAAGATCGCGACACAATAAAGTAGCCACGCTTATCTTCTTTAGCTAAGCAAACGTGTTGCATGCCCGACAACTGACTGAATTGAGTGTCTGACGACTGGTATGTCTGATCTAACTTATGACTTTTCTGACAACACGGTGTCTGACTAAAGTTATGTCTTCATGCGTGTCTTCATGTCGTTGTGTCTGACCACTGGAACGTCTGGCCTCTGGGTATCTGGCTACTGGTATGCATGTTAAATGGGCGTCTTATTACTGAAATGTCTGAAAACTGGATGTCTGATTACGGGTATTTCTGATATTCCTTACCTTTATGAATTAATTACATACACACATTTTCATAAGATTAGTATTTCCTTTTTTGTATTTTCACGCTTTTTCGTGTTATATTGTAATAAAGTCGTGACAGTTTTTCCGGTATGATTTCTTGACATATTTTTATGATTACACATATGCTGAGGTATAATGTTCTAAATCTTTGATCATCATGATTTCACAAGCGAGCATATAGGTATAGCGAAAAAACAAAACGTTATGAACAGGGCAGTTATTGTATTTGTAACTCAGGATCAACAAATTCTATCTTTCAAAATTGCCCTTGTTCACCAGCAGAAAATGGGTACCCGGTGGGATAAGTCAGGCGACAGCTTGGGTTATCCGGGGTTATAATAAGATTATGTTTGTGCGTTTTGAGCAGGATATGACGACTGAAATGCGCGTTATAAATATTCTACATTATTGTTTATTACTGCGAGGCAACTCTTCACGGCGGATTTTGACAGTATAAGGATCTAGGCAAACAAAGACATCCTGTTTGAGCCATAATAATAACTGATATTACGACATATTTTGACA